AATCCTCCACCTGTCCACACTGAGCTGTTACTCTCTTTGCCGACCCACCTGTCCTCATTCTCCCTCTGCCTGAAACACACACACACACACACACACACACACACACACACACACACACACACACACACACACACACACACACACACACACACACAAACACTACCATTACACAAAACAGATGCACAGGCTATTACAAGCTGGGTCTGTCGGAGGCAGAGTTTGTAGAGTAACACGGTGGAAGTGCAGTTGTCAAGGAGATGGATGGAGTGTTTATGAAACTCACTCTCTATTTTTCTCTCTATTTTAAAGTTATAGCCCTAGGTGGCTCGGTACACATAAGGCATTGTGTGTGTGTGTGTGTGTGTGTGTGTGTGTATGTGTGTGTGTGTGTGTGTGTGTGTGTGTGTGTGTGTGTGTGTGTGTGTGTGTGTGTGTGTGTGTGTGTGTGTGTGTGTGTGTGTGTGTGTGTGTGTGTGTGTGTGTGTGTGTGCCTTGACTGACAGAAAGGTTGGCAATGGGGGTAGCATCCAAAGAAAGGATTCCTGTCAAGGTGACAGCTCCAAGATTGACAGGATGCTATTCTCCTCGGGAACAGCGTCAGTCAACCTGTCAGCCTCCCTGTACGACAGCCTCTCACTCCTCTTAATTTGGCCTTTTGTTGAACGGTCACTGGGTTAGCTCTGACACTCCATGTGGCCGGCCTGATAAACTGCGCAATGAATCACACAACACAAGGTGGGAACTCGCTTCGATGAACTCCCTGTGCCATAACACTGCCACTGGAAGATCCTTTGATGGCATTAATTACAAAAAAAGAGCGTTGTCTTGCCTTTCTTTCACTCCTCTCTATCTCACTGTCACCTCACAAACACCCCCACTGTGCTGCGGACTCTGTTAGGTTGACAGCATCTCCTGGATGGTTGGGCACTCACTGAGATATAAGAGCCAGGGTTGGTCATTGTGCTGGTATGGAAATGACTATTTCTGTGTATGCATGCATGTGTGTGTCAGAGTAAAAGCCAGGGAGAAGTTTGCAGCATTTCCTCCACTCACACATTGTAAATCCTTTCCTATAGTGCCAGTCACAGGCTAGTGTGTTGACAGGAGATAAGGCCCTGAACCGACTGAAAGGAACGCTAGACCCATTGTATCCCTGCTCTCTTCTCTCTTCTCCCATCCTCTACTTTGTCATGCCCATTCAACAGACCACACTCTTATGGAGCTGCCACTAAAGGCACCATTGTAGGTTTCATCCTGAAGGAGTAAGGAGCACAGCTCACTTCATCAGAAAACTGTTATGCTGATTGAAATGCTGATAAAACTAGAGTTTGTGTTGTCCCTCTGTGTCACATGCATCCTTCATGAACATGGGTTTTGTATTTTAAACCATGCTTTTTCTGATGACGTGCTTATGAGAAGGTTTTTCTCTTACTTTCTATGTCAACATGTGTGAATGTTCTCAAGCTGTTCCATAATGTTATGAATGAGAATAAAACAGAGAGAGATGTTCTGTGATTCAGCGTGTAGTGGTGTAACGGATCATTGACCCACCCACTCAAGCACGTACGCTGGAACGCTGCTTTTACAAATTGCATCCATACACCCTCTGACATTTTGTTTTCAATTGAGCAGCAAAGTGTCTGTTGTTTGAATCATCCGGACATGATGTGAATTCGAAATTCAATCCATGCTCTTTGGAAAGAATAATGTCCTTTGAAATACTTGACTTCCAGAGTTGTTTTTCTGCCACAGAACCACTCTAATAGGAGCACTACACAATACATTACTATGGCTATTCCAGACAATATTTATATTCCATGTTTTACAATTGTTATCCATTTGTTATGCAAATGCTGTACTATTGCAAAATCGTTGCAATGCCTAAATCCTTTCCCACCTATCTTAAATATTTCCTATGCATGAAGGCCTTTCATTTCTAAGCCAAGCATAACAGTGGAATATACAAAATGAGATTAAATTGCAGTATGATTTTCCTAAATTGCCTATTTATACACACTCAAAGTCCTTTTGCCAAAAACTAATCTAGAAATATGAAACAAAAAGAGACTCTTACTTCTGCCTACATACAGGTACACTTAGTGCATGCTTCTATGTGTTATTTTTGTCCAGAGCTGACCAACAGAAATGCAAACTGTCAAAGGAGGAAGTGACACCTGATTATATCAAGTGTTGACTCAAGAACAGGATGTGCAGCCTAAAAGGGAAACAGACAGTAAAAAAAGTATGTAGTATGCAGGTGAATACGCCCTCATACACTCACATGAGAAAGTCACTGCTTTATATAACTATGTTTCCCAAGAGACCATATGTGTGTGCGCTTGCATGAGTGTGTGTGTGTTTGTGTGTGTGCAGACAGTTGGTGGTGCTGGCACTGGAGATAGTGAGTGGAGGGGGATGAGGCACTGTATCAAGTTGTGAACATCTGTTCCTCATAGAAACCACAAAGCTGGTGCTGAGGAAACAGAAAGGATAACTTCCCTCTCTCTCTCTCTCTCTCTCTCTCTCTCTCTTTCACACATACACACACACCTCTTATCACCACCTTGCCTCTCTCCTCCCACATATACTTCTCAATGTTTTCATTCCTAATTTATTCCGTTTTCTTGCTACATCATCAATATTCATCTTTCAATAATCATACCCATTTTAATAATCACTGCCCCATGTATTTGCTGATATCTGTGCCAGAGAAACACTGATGCAATTGTTAAGCAATGGATCAGTAAGTCACGTACATGTTCACGTGTACAGTAAGTCCATTACATTTTATTATAAAATGTTTTGCACTTTCATTTTGGTCATGATAACATTGTTCTTCAGATTAACTGATGAGACATGGTGACATGGCAAAACTACCATTAAAACTCTTGTTGTTGTTCGGAAGGAGAAAACAAGCTGAAATATTATTCAAAACCATGAAATATATATAGTGTGTTTGTTACTGAAGGTATTTCCAACTCAAATGAAAACAATATATCAGATGACACATTTGGCAAGATTGAACCAAGATTATGATTATTTCATCAAATAATGTTGATCTTAAAGCCCATCTAATATGAATTGTATCACAGAGTGACATCAGGAAACAGAAAGTGACAACGTTTTGTACTTAAACGTCATCTCCTCTGAAACAAGAATAGCCTTTTCAAAGCTATTGAGGATTAGGATTGGCAAGAAATTATGAAGTCTATGATACAGCAGTCATGAGCCAGGGCTTTGTTAGGGATTCACTGCACCTTTTCCCTCAAAGTCCCTTGATTTAGTCCTTTCTCATTTTCTTCCTTTCTCCATCTCTATCATTTCCTTCCTCCCTCTATCCGGGCTTGCTGTGAGGGTGTGCTATAGTGCTGGGTGGCAGTTCCTTATTGTAGAGTGTCTATATGAGTGTGTGTTTGTGTGATTGTGTGTGTGTGTGTGTGTGTGTGTGTGTGTGTGTGTGTGTGTGTGTGTGTGTGTGTGTGTGTGTGTGTGTGTGTGTGTGTGTCTGTATGCTGTGTGTGGCTGATAAGACCCAGGGAGAAGAGCCAGCGTGCCGACATATTCTTGCCACCACGGTTATCGCCCGTCGCAGCTGTGCCTGAGCTCTGCGACATCTGCTCCCTCACAGGAAGCCTATGCTGCAGCTCACAACACCTCACACACACATTCACACGCACCAACACACACATTACTACTGCTGCTTTTTTCATACAGTGTGAACATATCAGTGGACACAAACACACATACACACTTTTACATCAGTTAAACTACTTGAGACAGAGAGCTATGTTTATGTTTTGCATTAGTGTGTGTGTGTGTGTGTGCCTGTGAGTGTGTGCGTGAGCGTGTGTGTGTAAGAGATAGAGAGAGATAGAAAGAGAGAGAGAGAGAGAGAGAGAGAGAGAGAGAGAGAGAGTTGAATGAGTTGAATCCCCGACACCAGAGTTCCACTGTTTTTTTTATCAGAGCATTACAGGGGGGATGCTTATGACTAAGCCTAATTATAGAAGCCTTATCTCTGCAACGTTCACAAAGCTCATTACTGCCAAGAGATGTCAGGCGCTGCAGGTAATTCACTACGTTGGGTATTAGTTCTTGCTCTGGCTTACAGTTTCTACATATTTAGAGTCTATAAAATAGGGCCTTTAATGTCTGATTCTTAATGCATTTCTCTCTCTTCCAACCCCGCGCTGAATCAAGTGAAGGTTTTCATTTTCACCTAAAGGCACTACTTCAGTGTTTTCACTGCTTTAAGAATCAATTACATCCTTTTTTCCTGGATGTATTTCAAGCATCCCTCATCTGTCTGTACACTACTCTCTTAAAGTGTTTGCTCTGTCATTCACTGTGATGCACCCTGTGACCTGCATGTGTCTTATGAAGCCATTGAAGCTGAACAGTGAAACTCAAGATTATAGTCTAGTTCCCTGCAGCTGTATGGGGATGCCCAGAGGAAGACCCCCAAACACTCCAAAAACCTATTTCCTTTTCCTTTCTTGTGCCAAAGGGGAACATGTGCTCCACTAGGCTTGTTAACAATAATGGCACATTTATTTGTGCTTGACTGTTCATATAAAAAAACATAATTTATGAAATTTAAAGGATTATTTAAAGAAAAATATAGTCACGATTATCTGTGAAGTCAGCTTATTTTCTACGGATGCCAAGAAATATAGTAAAATGCGCTGAGGAACAAACCGTAGATCATTTTACACTTAATTGCTTTGGACTGAAAAAAACTAATTTAGATGGTAATGTTTGATGTCATTGTAACCTTGAAACCTCAGTTTCAATCATCAAATACCAGGTCTACTCACAAAATGAAGAAACCTCACATTGCCCTTACAGCATGCAGCGCTAAGTCAACACAAACTGATTATCCGTCCATCACTCCAACTTAATGAGCAGACCTGACAGCTGCAGGACCCTCCATCACTCATCACGGTAACACACTGCCAAAAGATTTCATAAAACAGATCCTGTAAGATGACAGGTCCTACCTTCACTACATCTGTAGTAGCTGCTGGTTGCCAGGTTTAGATCAAGGCTTGCCGGCTGCAGTCTGTGGGCAGTGTGTTTATCCCTCTGCTCTCTGTGGTTGATCAGTGTCACCGTGGGGATGCGTGGAGGAAACGCTGGAGCAGAGGAGCTCCCGGATCTCAGGTCCTTCTTCTGGTGCTCAAAATGGACTTCGATAGACATGTTAGGACCTTCAAATCCCACTTTCTTTGTGAGGTAAAGGGATTCGAGGTGATGTGACGTGTTTGTGTAAAGAAGTGAAGTAAAGACAATGAAAACTAAAAATCACTAGAGCTCAAAAAGGCAGCTTTCCTGTTGGACCTTCTCTTCCTTATGTCCTTGAGGCTTAGCATGTTTTTCTTCTTAATATTCATCCAGTTTGCCTTTGAGGTCCCTGTAGATCATTGTACTGTTTGACCCAATGAATGGCTATGCAAGGACAAGGACGTAGCTGTTGTTATAGCTCCCAATAGAGAACAACAAGAAACAGCAGAGGTTGTTTCCTCTTCTTCCTTTCACCTTTTCGTTTAAGAGTGTAATGCTGGATGAATTATTCCTGGATTCCTCTGGTATTTTTTCTTTGCTTCATGTCTGCATGGAACTTTGCGTTAGAAAGATTTCATATCACAGTCGTTAATACCCATGAGTAACAGTCTTTGTCTTCAGCTCCAAGTCTCTTTTCCCCTTTTAGATGTCCTTGGTACATTTACCTTTCGTTCTTCTTTTCGGTTCATCTGGTTATTTTAGTCTCTCATCGCTCCCTTCCCGCAGAGTGTGTGTGAGCGTGTGTGTGTCAGCCGCAGGTCAGTTTGTCTCGTGGCTCTGGCTGAGGGGCTGTGCTCTCATCTGAACCCTCCTTCTGCCCTGCCTGCCACTGAAGCTCAAAAGAGAAGTGTGTGTTAGTATGTTACAGTTTGCGTATGTTGCAGCGCTGCAGTCCCTCGGGGGGCCGGGCAGCAGTGTGGCTGCGGTGATAGCAGCAGACAGAAGGACAAGGGCCTCCATCTGGGCTTCCTCTGTCAGGAACCAGCTGTGTCTGCGGCCAGCACTCACGCAGGATCCTTTGCTTTTGTGTACCTTTGCTTGGGACCATAATACAACTTTCTCCCCATCTAGTTGCTCTAGCTTTTTCTACTTTGTTGTGTTGCATTTTTTGAAGGAATGATGCAAAGTAATTGCATGTCAAGGTTAACAAAAGCTGAACTTCAATGACAAGTAAGTAACTGGTAAAACTGGTGTTGAATGTTTCACCTTTGAGACTTCAGACTTGCACTATAGTTAAGGGTACACTCAAATATTTGAAATATCATTTCATCATTGTGATGGCCACAGCCACACAGGGTAAAACAATTACACTGCACCCTCACCTCCAGTAGTTTTTGCTTCATTTCAGTTGCAATATAACAAGAATTGACACCCCACATTTTGATTTAAAAGTCCTTATTTGCCTGTAAACAGACATTATTTAGTTTATTCTCACACATGCTAACACAGCTAACACAAGTTTTTTTTGTATTAATGACTTTCTTTGCCTTTGAGTTACTTTGGTTGTTGTGGGAGGTTACTTCCTGGTTCAGCAAAAGGCGTGGCTGAGGACTGAGGGCGGATAAATACTGCAAGAAGCCAATTGGGACCAACCACATGCTTCCATGTCAAAAGGGGGGTTTTTGGTTTTGTCAGTGTCCTCTTCTATTCTGTTCAATCTGAATTTCCCATTGGTTTTCTATTTGGTTCGGCCAAGCCACTATATTTGTTCCTTGTTTTGTAATTTTTTGCAGGCCAGTTTATTGCATTAACACCTGTAAAGTGGCTGTTAAATTCATTAGAGGTATTTTCTGTTGACATCTTTTCTAGACCTCTTATTAGAGATTATTGGTTTATAATGTTTGTTTTGGATTGTTGGGTAAATTAAAAAAACAGTTAGTTTAAACTTAGCATATGAATGAACACATTTAGGCTGTTAGCTTATTTGATGATTGACTTCCTTCATCAGCTGTATTTGTTCTCATTCATCGACAGATTGTTGATATGATGTACAGTATGATCAGAGCACTAAGACTCAACCTTTAAAATTCAAACTAGAAGTTTGATACAACTACCTAAAAAAGCCCATAAGGTGACAACACCATTTTGGTGACAGTAGGCAATAATGAACAAAAAGCACACCTACTGTGGGAAACAATGCTGAAACACGCCTATCTCACATTTAGAATCAAACATGCCAAAATAAACTTCACAAAGCTTGAACAGCTGAAAGGGGCACTCATGTGAAACTCTACCAACATTGTAGCTATCACCTCCTTGACCTCTGACCCCCCAGGACTCATTAACCCTTAACCCAGAGGGCATACCACAGTGTGTGTGTGTGTGTGGGGGGGTGTGTATGTGTGTGTGTATGTGTATGCCAGCGCACACACATATATTTATTTTGGAGTAGGTAGTGTGCTGATGAGAGAAGTGAGAGGGGATGTGATCACACAGATGTGCTAAGTGTCTTGCTGAAACCAACACCCATACGGTCATCATCAGAGAGGAAGTGAGAGAAACTCATGTTGCTATCTTTGGGTGTGGGAGACGAAGAGCAAGACAACTGTTTTATAAACTCAGAGTGAATGCATGAAATGTGAGATGAGATATTGAAAGATATGAGCAGCATGAGAACATATATAGTAGGTGGTAGGGCAGGTGGAGAGTTGATTCATTAGAGGTTTGGGAAAAGACAACAACATACAAGTGCACAAAAAAAGGGCTAAAAAAATGGCACTCTGGAAATGGAAAGTTTTAACCTATCTTGATTGGATGATAGTTTGACAGTTTTACACTGATTAGATGATTGTGGGAGGAGGAACAAATGAGCGGAAAGGTCAAAGAGGCGTAGTTAAACATCTTTAAAGGAGCATAGAGTGGCTCCAGTGAAAGCAACAGATATGAGAGTTAAGTGATTCAACGATTGCTATGCCCTCTATAAGCTACAAATACATAAAAAACCATAACAAATATTTCACTTATATTAAATATGGAATCAAATCACAATCACATGTAATCTTTTCCCATTTATATCACATTTAAATCCAGTGTTGCAAAAAGGCAAGTTCCTTGGCTGCAGGATTTGTTGTGCCCATACCCAACATCCTGATTCACACACACAGTTTCTCTGTGTTACCTGTTATAGAAGCCTTTGCTCCTTTGCCTCCCTCCCCCTCAGATGTTGGCAGGTATAAAATGAGTTTTGGGGGAGAGAGAGAGATAATGATTCCCCCATAATCACCAGAGGCCAGCTCTGGTTCTGGCAGGTGCTATCACAGTAGCGACCCAGTGGTGCCTTCTCCCCTGAGATAAGGTCAGAGGGATGATGGGAGGGAGGGTGGGTGTAGGGAGGAGCAGAGGAGGAGAGGAGAACAGGGCAGAGGGGTGCAAAACGTGCGTTACAGGCGAACGGCTAGCCTTGCCTTATCTCCCCTCAGCGGCTGCCGCTACTGGCTCCCAGATGCGGCAGGCCAGAGCAGCCGTGTCAGAGAGATCCCTCTATCAGCGACACACAGGCACCCCTCGCCAAATACAAACCCAGCAGGAGGACACACCAGGACTTCATTACCTCTTTAAAACTCCAATCCACATGCAGGAGAGAAGCCAAATCTTCTGCAACTATGTTGGTACTATATATCAAAAATGCACCAACTCTGTCTTTCCAGCTTTCTAACCAGGTTATAATCGTAACACATAAGTAAACAAATACAGAGGTCTTTCAGCATTTTAGTCAAGGGATACACGAGATGCAACTCTTCACCTTGTACAGTGAAAGTAAAGCTTGTGAAAGTCAGTGGCTGGGACGGCTGGCGTCTGGTGGCGATAAGCAGCCATATGGTGAAGCGTCTTGCCTGCCTGCGCGGCACCTGGACACCACTAACCAGGTGAACTTTTCAACTTTGCAGCCGTCCAAATGGCACTTTGAGCCAACACACCCTCCAGTGTTGTACAATATTTATTTATTGTTTCTGTAAGGTTTTTCTTTTATACCTTCATTGACTGTACACTTTTACTGGTTGCACAAACTTCTGATTTTGGGAGACAGGACATTCTTATAAGAGCTTGAGTAAATGAAGCTACAACTCTTCATGTTTTGATAAGGAAAAAAAAGGAAAAAAAGTAAAGTAAAAGTTCCAGTAATATATTTTTACACTACCTAAATCCTCGCTAAACAATTTTCTTTGTAAGTTTCAACAGTTCATGAAGACAACAGAAACTCTTCAACAGCTCATGAAGACGTTCCCTTGTGTCTTTGACTACAGTTTGTATCTACTTTCATTTGCATTTGCGGACATTCTTCCAGAGGGGGATACTGCAATTTGGCCTCACTTAAAGAAGAATAAAAAAACAGCATCCACTGGCAACCTCTTTCTATCACTAGAAAAACCACTACAAGACAAATAAGTCAGTTGAGGCTTGTTCCCCTCTTCTCCCTGCAGTGTTTTTAGAATACACACCTGTTTGGCACAGACAGCGTCAGAAAACCTCCAGATCTTAACAGAACTCTATAAGTTAAACTGTCCCCATCTGTCACAGCTCGAGCACTGAGCGCCTCCTCCCTCTTATCCTTCATACAGCAAACTTGGCACTCGTTCAAGAACTGTCAAAGCACACCTGCTAAATTAAGCCTGTTCTCATATACACAGATACAAGTTCAGGAGTACACAGTGTATACACACATGCACACATGGACTCACATGACCATGCACACACACAGATGGTAATATGCTCACAGTGATATTACAAACTGATATGAATTAATATGGTTAATGGTGATGAAATATATATTTGAGTTTTATTTGTATCACAAACAATGTTTAAAACAGCCACTGTTTGTTTTTCGATGTTTTTACACTCTGCTGGCTGCTTAAAAATTATAAACCTGTTACCTAAATTCTAATAAATTCATTATTTTATGCGTCTCTTGAAAAAGAAACCTAAGGATAAACAGATGACATGGAACATTTTAAAAAGAATGCAAAATGCTACAAACAAGCAGATGAAGTATAATATAAAATGATATACTATGACAGGTTTAATATGCTTCTGTCAAATATAGCCCCATTATCTTGCTGCCCCAAACTCTAATCTATTGGTGCCCACTTTTCTTGACCCTCTTAAGCCCAACCTCTCCCCTTTCTCGTGACTCGTGGCATGCACAGCCGCTGAGCCGCTCTAAATAGGTGCCACTGTGAATTGGCGACAGATGGAAATGAAGGTTCCCTGCAGAGTGGTTCCCCTGCAGCTGTGCAGTGTACCCGGTGCCAGGGAATGATGACAGCTCAGCAAGGGGGCACCCAGAAACACAGAAGACAGCACCATCTCCGTCTCACTTCCTCCTTCGCACACAGCAATAGGCTGTTCAACCGTGCAAAGAGGAGGGGTGTTAGCTCCAATACCAGCCTCCAGGAATGTGAAAGTAGAGATTTAAGTGAAGAGACAAGCGATAGACACTATAACACAACACATCTGGGTGTAAGATTTGACAGACATCTGACCTTTGACACCCACATTAAACACCTGTGCAAAACCTCCTTCTACCACCTCAGGAACATTGCAAAACTCCGTCCCACACTCTCCCTGTCAGATGCTGAACAACTGGTCCATGCCTTCGTCTCCTCAAGGCTCGATTACTGCAACGCTCTCCTCATCGGGACTCCTAGCGGGAGCCTTCAGAAGCTCCAATATGTACAGAATAGTGCCGCTAGGATCCTGATGAGGGTGAGAAAATACAACCACATCACACCTGTTCTTCATTCCCTCCACTGGCTTCCTGTCTCATTCAGGATCTAATACAAGATCGCACTGCTGACCCATCAATGCATCCACGGGAACGCTCCTCCATACCTGA